CTTTAAAAAAATCATACCCTCCACCCCCAATTTAAAGACTCAATTCAAAGACAGGCATATGAAATGAACAGTTATTTCTCAGACAAGGAAGTAGAAACACCAAATAAACATATGAAAAAAATGTTCAACATCACTGGTCATTTGAGAGATGCAGATGAAAACAATGCTGAGATTCCACCTCACTCCAGAAAGAATGGATGCTATCAGTAAATCAACCAATATCAAATGCTGGTGGGGCAGTGGGAAGAAAGGAACTCTTCTCCATTGTTGGTGGGATTGCAGACTGGTGCAACCACTGTGGAAATCAATACGAGGATACCTCAAAAAACTAGGATTAGAGGTTCCATTTGACCCAGCTATTCCTCTGCTCGGTATCTTCCCAAAAGAATTAAAAGACTCTCTCTTGTTACTTTGCTACCTTTTGGCCACCATGAATTGTTTCTCCTCTTTGATGCACCCTCTTCCATGTTGCCATTCTGCCTTGGAGCCAGCCAAGTATGGACTGAAACCTCTACAAACTGTGAGATAAATAAACCCTTTCCCCTTTAACTTTGGGAGTTGGCTATTTTGTCCCAGCAACAAGAGAAAAGTAAGTCAGACAGAATTTGGTACCTGAGAAGTAGAGTCCTTGCTGTGACATTACATGGCCATATGGTTCAAGAGCCTTTGGAACTGGCTTGTGAGAAGCGTTTGGGAAGGTTTCAGAGAAGCTGACTGAAAAAGTAGAAGTGGAACACTTTAGGCTGTACTGTATGGGAGATTCTGGTCAGTGCTTAGAAGACCAGAAACCCAGTAAAGACCAGGCTCAGGAAGTTTCTGCTGAGAAGAAGGACTGCACTGGCTGTTGGACTCCAGATGATGTGAGATATGCCTTGGCAGAAAGCTTGTCTGCATTTTGCTCCTGTCTAGGGACTTTGCCTGAGACTGAGATTAAGGGCACCAGACTAATTAATCTGGCAGAAGAAATTTTAAGGCAGTCTAATGTTGAGGCAGTGGCATGGCTACTGTTGGGTGCTTTTAGCCAGATTTCTGTTGAGAATCAAGAGCAAACAATCCAGCAAAATGATTTAAAATGTAAGTTTGGCCAGAAAGGAAGCTCCAGTAAAGTTGTAGCCTGAAAAGGTAGAACAGAGGAGATCTTGATTGCTGAGAAGGAACAGAATAGAAAGGATAGCCTGAGGGCATCACAAGAAGCAGCAAGATTCCACCCTTTGTAGCCTCAAAATTAAAAGTGAAAGACTTTACTTTGAGAAGAGAGCCCCAGAGCACCATGTTCTAGAATGTTGGCAACCTAGGGAAGTTGTTCCTTGGGATTTGGTTCATAGGCACTGGACCCCTATAGCCAAGAGAGAAGGAACCATGGCCACTGCTCCAGGTGGCAGCAGACTTTGGCATCGTCCATGTGGGTGCTGATCTTAGGTGCATGCAGAATGTAAGAGCTGTGGGATCAGGAAGGCTTCCACCCAGATTTCAGAAGAAGGCCTGGAAGGCCAGGCATTGTGCCCCTGAGAGGGCAATGTGTGAAGTTGTGTGGAGCCAGGGGTGCAGTCGAGACCTCAGAAGTTTGCAGAAGCCAGAACGTGGATCATCCGAGGGAAATTGTAATGATGGAGTAGAGCGGGCCCCAGAGAGAAGCCATGGGAGCTACAACCACCTGCAGTGCCATAGGTTTGGAGCCACTTGTCAGAACCACTTGGCTGAACCCTTTGGAGTTCACAGCTTGCCACAGATTGCCTGAGACACTGGAAGTGGAACTGCGGGACTTAATGTTTGCCCTCCTAGATTGTGGACCTGCTTTGGTCCCATTCCTTGGTATCCTCCTGTTTGTAACTTTTAGAATGGAAATGTCTATCTTGTGCCATTAAATGTTGGAAGTGTTTAACTTTCTTTTCATTTGTACAGGGGCTTGCAGCTAAGAATTTGCCTTAAATCTCAAAGGAGACTTTGGACTTGGACTTTCCAGCAATGCCGAAACTGTTAGGACTTTGACAACTCTTAGAGATGGACTAAATCCCTTTTGTATGAAAGAATGTACATTACAAAAAATAAAGGAGTGTACATGAGTCTTTGGGGGGCCAGGGGCAGAATGTTATGGTTTGGGTCTAGATGTCCCCCAAAATCCTCATGTGGTCATAGGTGGCTTTTTCAAAAGTGGCTGAATCTAGAGTATATGATACCAGGATTAAAGGTGTGTGATTACTAAACCAGTGCAGTGATTGGTGTGGCCCTGCCCTAATCCTGGTAGTCTGGATAAGATAAAAGGGGCAGAAATACGCTGTTAAGGTTCTCTCATTGCTTTGCTACTGTCTTTCTGCCATGAATTGTTTCCCCTCTGCCATCCTGCCTTGGAGCCAGCCAATTATAGACTGAAAAGCCTATGAACTGTAAGCTAAACAAACCTTTCCCCATTGAATTAAAAGAATCATACCACAGAGAAATATGCACACCCATATTTATAGCGGCCCAGTTGGTAATATCTAAAATTTGAAAACAGCCCAATTGCTCATCAACTGGAGACTGGATAAAGAAAACGTGGGTTTGTTTTTTTTTTATATAAAATGTAGTACTACTCAGCCATAAAAAATGAGAAACTAGAGACATTTATAGCTAAATGAATGTATATTGAGGACATACTCTTAAGTGAAATAAATAGAACACACATATGTAAATACCAAATAGTTTCTCTGGTGTGAGAAACTAAAACTGTAAGTAAGTATCAAAAGGTATAATAGATAATGTGAAACAGGAAGAAAAGTCTAAAGAGGAAGGAGAAGTAGGAGAGGTAGGGAAAAGGAAATAAGGGAAAGGAAAAAATATGAGAAAAGGAAAAAATGGAAACAAAGTCTTTGTAAATAGGGAAGCGGGGAGGGGTTGAAGGAAAGGCAGGGGAATGGGGAAAAAATAAGAACCAAGATATATCATGTAAAGGTACAAATTCCCAATGATGAATATCATCTTATTGTACAACTAAAATGTACCAATAAAATTAGTAAATAAAAAAAAGAGGTGGCTTTTCTTTTTTCTCTGAGTTATTCCAACTGCAATGAGGTGAAAACAGTGGACAATCTGGTTCGTCATGTCATTTACTGTGCAGATTATGAATTCATAGCCTAAACCTCAGATATGTGAAACTGTTTAAAAACACTCACTGAAATTTAAAGGCTTAAAGCACTTTAAAGTATTTTGCTATAAAATTTCATAAACCAGGGATCCCTGAGACAAGTGCAATGGAGAGAAATGAAGTGTATTTGGCTTTGTTGTTTTGTATTTAAAGTACTGGGGATTGAACCCAGGGCCTTCACACTGATTTGCATCCCTACCCCTTTTGTATGTTTTATTTTGAGGAAGGTCTCACTAAGTTGTCCAGCCTAGACTGAACTTTTGATCTCCCTTCCTCAGCCTCCCAGAGTGCCACCACCAATATCTTTTTTCTCCACCACCATTCCAGATGAAATGGAGTACTCATAAAAGCTAATTCACACCTGTAATTTGAGTAACACCTCCAGAATACTGCCCTTGTATCTTTTTTTGCTTCCATTCCCATAACTTACAACTATTAAGTACTTACTCTCTACCAGAAACTGTGCTGAAAATTTCACGTGCATTGTTACTTAATCTGCACCATAGACCTATAAGATAAGTATAAACTTATTTTCACTTTACAAAAAATAATTATACACACCTGTAGTCCCAGCACTCTGGAAGGCTGAGGCAGGAGGATTATAAGTTAAAATTCATCCCAGCAATTTTGCAACTTAGAGAGACTCTGTCTGAAAATGCAGAGTTAAAAAACAAAAACAAAAACAAAAACAAAACAGCTGGTAAGGCCTGGGGATCTAGCTCAGTTCCACCGCCTGCCTCGCAAGCGGAAGGACCCGAGTTTGATCCCCGGTACCAAAAAAAAAAAAAAAAACAGCTGGAAATGTAGCTCATTGTGAAGGTCCTAGGTTCAATCCCCAGTACTACAAAAATAAATAAATAAATGAATAAATAAGCCTTTTAAATAAAAAATAAAAACCTCTGTAATTGGTGAGTGTGGTGGCACCCTTTTGTAATCCTAGCACTTGGCAGGCTGTGGCAGGAGGATCACTGCAAGTTTGAGGCCAGCCTGGGCTACATAGTGAGTTCAACCACCCTGAACTACATAGTAAGACCTTGTCACAAAAAACAAAAACAAGTTAAAAGAAAAACCTCTAAATTGTAAGGTTGTGTTTCTCTCCAAATTTCTCTTTGGTATGATTTAAACAATAACAAACTCCTGTTAACATTCTTTCCAAAATTGCATTTTCTGATGTCCCTGTTCCCTGAAATTGCTTTTACCTATTCTGTTGTCCTATATTATATTAATGAGTGAAAAAGAGAAACCAGATGCTCATCTTTTGTAATTGCGAAAATTTAGCAAAACAAATTCAATGGAAAATAATTCCCTCCATTTTATAAATGGGGCAGACTTTTAATGCTGATTAAAAGATTATGAGGACAATTTTGTATCTAGAGAGAAGCTTGATTTCTTTCAAAGGTCATAAAAATATTTCAGCATTTATACTATTTTAGCAAAACATTTTTGCAATCTCTTTAACAAAAAAATGAGTATTTATTAAACATTTACTTTATTCTCAGAATTTAAGAATATAAAGAATGTATAAAAATGGGCCCTGCTCTGAAAATCTTGCAATTTAGTGGATGAGAGAAGACAACCATACCAATACATTCAACTATATCCAAAGCATTACATATGTATTCTTCCTACCCTTCCTTCCATTTCTTTAGCAAGACCTATTTGTTCTCTAAAACATAGTTTAAATCTGTATTCCTTTTCAGAGAAGCTTGATTTTGAATTTCAGAAATAGCTTAATTTATACTCAACAATTAGAATCTCTTTTCTCTCCATTTATTTCCTGATTATTGTGATCAATTCATCACTCTCCTTTGAAAGGCTGAGAGATCTTTCCATGTTACCCACTTTAAAGATGAATCTTTATATTCCTCTCATACCACAGAGTCGTCAGAAATCGGGCCTTCCCTGGTGATTCACACCACCGTCCCATTTGGAGTTACACACTTGGAACACAGCATTAAAGATGTACAGGAGTTAATCCTTCAGCAGCTGGAAAACATTTTGCCAGGTTTGCCTCAGCCAGTTGCTATCAAATGCCAGAAATGGAGACATTCACAGGTAATCAAATAATCCACTTGTATGAGCACCATTTTTTTAGTAGGCCAGCAAAATCGACTGTTTCACCCTTTGCCACACTTTAGTAAAATAAATAAACAATGGGCTCTTTAAAGCAAATATGTTTGCCTATCATGTACATGTATTGTCTACAGGTTTCATTGTCCCACTATTTCTCAAGAAGAGACATGTGCAATTTACACCAAGGTTCTGGCCTCAGAAGGCGCATACACTCTGAAATTCTGGGGTTTCCTATGTAAGCAAAACAGGTTATATATCAAAATGCAGCTGTTTCTCTGGGGGTTTTCTAAATCAGTACTGTGGTTATATAGAAGCCACTATAACCTCCCAGATTTTTGCAGACTGTCATATTTACCTTGTAAATGTATTTTGCTACCACAATTTTCATTTTTATTAAGTTCCCATTTTGGTTTAACTGCTGCCAGCAGAAATCTTTAGGGGAGAAAGGTGAGTACCTGTATTTAACAGCTAGTTGAGCTGTTTTGGGGGGTTAGATAAAGCTACTGATGGCTCCACTAGCTCAAACTTAAGACTCTTTGTATTAAGTAAATGTTGACTTTTTTGAAAATCTCTGCCTATTACAGCAGAACCTTGTGAGTGTTTGTAGAAAAGGTCTTTTCCTCTGTAAACCCAGTTGTTAAGGCATTTGGAGGTTGATGGAGCAAATGGTAGATGGAGAGAAGATGATATGAGTTGTCCATTTTTTTCCCCTGAGATTTCTAAGTCCCTTGATTAACAGAATTATCTGCACTTCTGGTTATCCAAGCTGTGAGCCCTTTAGAAAAACTGGTATTGTGGAAAATGCAGAAGATTTTGTATATTTTAAAGAGCTTTCTCAAATCAAGAAATGGTAAATTACCTTCTAAAACACTGCAGCAGTCTATGTGTTTACTCATATCTTCTCAAGTTTACATTATACAGTGAACCTTTGGGGAAAATATTTACTTAAACATGTCATGGTCACTTTAGAAGATTGCCTTTTCCTTTTTAAAGCATTAAAAATCTTAATAGCTAATGTCTTCAAATGATCTTTAACTCAATTTTAGGTTAACTTGAAAAAGAAGTCAGGGAGATAATCTTGTTATAATTTGAAGCTAACTATATTACACACCAAGTCACTTTGCAATTCATACATATTTCTTTATAGACAATAGTTTGTAGGATTTCTTTCTGTGCTTTCTCAAAAATAATTTAATAAGCTGAAATGGCTTAAAGTTTACTTATTTCTTAAAATTAGAAATATTAATAAAATAGATTTGTTATAAACATAAAATGACATTCAATTGTACAATATCAAAATTAAATGTACACAAATTAAATTGTACACAAAGTTAAATACCAAAATTTAATTTAAAAAATTATTTTGAACACAATGTACATCCAAATCCTTGCAATATTTTTATTACAGTTTAGATGTTGAGATTACTATATTTACAGCTCTCTTGAAACCTGCATTGCCTACAAAGTCTAAAAGAGAATAAGTTATTCAAACTTAGAAATTTGCATTTCTCATTATCCATATATCTCTCTAATATCTTGAGCATCACTTTACAAAAATATAATATTATTATCTACGGGAGAGACCTTATTAATACACAGTTTCTATGCAGATCATATCACCCTAGGAAATTAATGAAAGGTCAGGAGATTTAATATAGTTTAACTAGTTAATTTCTGGCTTCTCTTCTCAAGAGAATGATTCTCCAATCCTTATTAAAGGTTGATCTTAACTTCTGGAATTTGACAGAAATGTCTGCACCCTTGCCATCATCTGAGTACACATACATGGTCTACTTTCAATGATTTCATATACGCCTGTTTATGAATATGGTTTAATATAGTGCTAAACTGACAGAAAGTGATAAGCCTAGATATATAAAAGAAAAAGACATAACCTACTAATTTTTAAGTTTCCTTCCTTCTGAGTAGAGGTACAGTGCCCAGTGATATGGATTCCCCATCCTAGAGCATGCAGGCTTGATACATTCTCTGTGTTAATTTTATTTTTCTCCTTGTTCTCTTTTCTTGTAATCCTTATGCTGCATCCTTCCACCAAATGCTGTTCAGGATGGGGAGAAAGAAGAGAAAGGAAGAGCAACAACAGTTATGGGCATCTATATAGTGCCAGGCCTGGGGCTGGATGAGTCAAAGATCTTATCTCATTTATTGTCAAAAGAAGTCTTATAATTGACAGCGAGATACCACTACACAAATGGAATGGCCAAAAGCCAGAACACCAAGCAACAGTAACTGTAATTCACTGCTTATGAGAATGCAAAATAGCACAGACTTTGGGAAGACAGTTTAGTAGTTTCTTACAAATCTAGATCCATGCTTACTATATGATCCAGCAGTTATTCTCCTTGGTATTTACCCAAAGGGGTTGAAAACGTATTTCCACGCACAACCTGTATCTGAATGTTTATAGCAGCTTTATTCATAATTGTCAAAACTTGGAAGCAACCAAAAAATTCTTCAGTAGATGAATAAATAAATAAACTGTAGTACAATGGAATATCATTCAACACTAAAAGAAATGAGCTATCAAGCTATAAGAAGTTGTAGAAGAAATTTTAAATGCATATTATTAAGTAAAAGAAGCCAGTACAAAAAGACAACCTATTGTACAATTCCAACTGTATATGATATTCTGGAAAAGACAAAAATATGGAGACAGTAAAAAGATCAGTGATTGTCAGAGGTTGGAAAGGAAGGAAGAATGACTAAGTAGAGCAAAAATTTTTAGGGTAGTGAAAATATAATGGTGAATACATGTTGTTCTATATTTGTCCAGATCCACAGAATGTACAACTCTAAAGGTGAATGCTAATGTATGCTATGGACTTGGGATGATAATGTTGTCTACATGTACATTAATTAGTTTTTATAAAAGTACCACTCTAGTGGAGATGTTGATAATAACAGGTGCTATGAAGGTAGAGAAACAAGATATATGGGAATCTCTGTTCCTTCCTCTCAATTTTGTTATGAACATAAAACTGCTTGTATTGTTTCCTGTTGCTATGGGATATGACAAAAAATACAGTGAATGTTTAGTGGGGTTTCTATTAATTAAAAATTTATTTACAGTAAAAGATACATTACCACTAATCTCCCTCAAAATACTCTTCCTTGTTTTTTTGTGAATAATTGCTTTTATTAACGAATCCAAATACTAGATATGAGTAATTGGTTTGGGAGTTTTGTCTTTTTCCTTTGTTGTAGGAAATTTGAAACCAATTTCATTTTTGATTCTACAGCAGAATTTTGCTTTTCCCCAGATTTTTACAAAATTATAATAAATTTTTCCCCCATCATGAAAATAATATAGTAAATTCTCACATAGCACATTTGGGTGTTAGCTGACTGTAGTGAGTATGTTATTTTTTAGAATCCACTGCCTTTATTTTTGGTAAGAGTATTCAAATGTCCTTAGAGGGCTGGCCCCGGCTCCTCACTTGTGTTTTGGAGAGAATTGACACAACTTCCCGCTCCAGAGCTAGAGATATGAGTCAGAGATAGATAGTCAGGTAGGCAGGTAATTGGTTTAGGATTAGGCATGTGACCCATTTAAAGAAAATAAGATATTTCCCTTAGGATATTTTTAGGAGATAAGCAGTGTGTGTGTGTGTGTGTGTGTGTGTCACAGTATTGTTCCACATTTTTCACCCTCTCCCTGTAATAGAAATATCAAGAATAAGTGTGTCTGTGTGGCTTGCCCTGGGCAATGGAAAGTGGGTAGGAGGTGACTGTGCTGTTCAGACCCGAGGCCTTGGGAAACAATCACATTTCTGCTTGCTGCTTTGCCCTTCTGCCATCTGCAGGAGAAGATGTGCCCTGGAATCCCAGGATGAGGGCCAGAGGTGGACACATAAATGCAACCCATAGCTCGAAGCACCAAACCCTCCTTCCCCTACCATGAGTTAGTCTGCAGATTCCCAAGCGAGATAAAGCAATGTTTATTCTCTAAGCCGTCAAAAGCCTGGAACGCATGGGGAAACCCTAACTAACGATGCTATTCATGTCCAGAGCCCCTTCCCTTCCCTGCTTCCTGCCTCCCAGCTGGCTGTATATTACAGGATACCCTGCAAACTGGCCCTGGCCAGCATCATTCAGCGGAAGGCACTGGTGGAAGATTGGAGAATGGAAAAGAGGAAAAGCCAGGGATGCTTCCCTCTCCGCACTGCCTCCCGCTGTATTCTCTGGTGAAGATTACAGGGCCTACCTGGCTCCTAGCCCTGCTTTAGTGCGGATGGCCCAGCTTCTGAGCTCCTTCGAACTTCCATGCTCTGCCATTGCAGTGATTCCCTCCTGTTGTTTATTTCTGGGCTGTCTCATCTGCTCCCCTTTATCATCTTAGCTCTTCCATTTCTTTTTGGGTTAGATTTGAACATAGAGAATGTACAGCCAGAACTTCTGGAAACCCTCTTGGAGCCAGAGGAATATACAACCAGTAATCTCGGTGGAAGACCTCCAAAATGATGTAGGGGAAGAGATGTAACTCCCAAACTTACTAGATACTGAAACGCGAGTTCATGTTCTCTAAAATCAAAGAATGAATTCTAAGAACAGCAGAGGTTAAGAGTAGGAAAAATTTATTGGGAGAAAGAAAGCTTCTGCCTAAGAGAGGCAGAAGGGGGACCGGAAAGTGGGTTGCCCTCTTCCTTATTATGAACACACTTATCCCATCATTCTTTCCACTTTCTGAAGCAATTTTGGAAGTCCTCTTTTGTGTCTTTCTGTGGCTGCCTCAATGTCCCCAATCAATTCAAAGTGTTTACAGGATTTTTGTCAAATAAAAACATTACCAGTGTGTCTTCATTTACCTTATTCACCAGATCTAGCATTTTACAGCTTCGGTCTATTGCCCAAATTCAAAATAACCTTGACAGGTCATTTTGAATGACAAACATTTTGAATCAGTTCAGAACACCTAGATAGGATAATGAAAAGGACTTCCAGAACTGTTTCAGAAAGTACCA